AGGCAAAATCATTCAATACTTTCAAATCTAAGAGATGAAAGTTTGAAGTTTTATTTTCTGTTCAATCTATATTTTAATTATACTAGCACAGGTTATTGTAACATTGGTGTTTATTAATTACAAGGCAAACATATTGTAGACCCTATTTTAGTGAATATTCTAAATGAATGTTTAATATCAAATATTGAACCTAGTTTATTTATAAGATTATCTGGTTTATTTATACTATTATAGTTATGTTCTAATTATTATAATGGTGATATAAATATTACCATCCTCATTATCATCTATTAGCTCATATTTCGATGTGCTTTCGTATGTTTTATCTTTCAATACAGTCATTGTGTTGACCGCCCCTAACTCTCACGTGTGTAATTGCATTTAGCTTCACCTACTTGCTCATCAAGTGAATATGTCTGTACCAGCGGAGGATGCATCTCAGCGTCTCTGAGATGTAATGGAGAATACGATTGTGCTGATGGTTCAGATGAGGTAAAATTTGCCATTCAGTTAATCTTTGAATTGCATTCATTAGGTTTGGGAAAGCTTGTGTAATGAAAATAGAAGAGATAAGGCCTTGATTCTTAGCACCATCAGAAATGTTTGGACAAGCACATTGAACACAATCACTTCAGCAAGTGCCTGCATCTTCATGTTGTCCCCGTTATCCCCATTATACTAGAGTCCATTATCATTGCTAGAGGGCATATTTATTAAGTCATCCTAAAAGAAGGCCCATGGTGCAATACATTTTCTCTATTGTCAGCTGTATTTTTATTTTTTATTTGTTGCCTGTGACTGTATCATCACCATTAATGCAAACTGCAGTGCCCATTTGTATTTGAACAGCTGGACTGCGTGACGGAATGTAAGGAGGATGAGTTCCAGTGTAGAAATAAGGCGCACTGTACCCCAGTGAGATGGCTATGTGACGGAGTTCACGACTGCGTGGATGGCAGTGATGAAGCGAACTGCGACAGAGGTACGGTGCTTTCTTTGTTTGGCTTCGTTTGTGTGATTCTGCAGGAGAGAATGGACGCTGGGTGCTGAGGAAAATAGAATGTGCTAGGGTCATTAAATAATTCTCTTTACTATTTCAAGTTTCATTATCTATCAGTTTGTTCTAACTCCAGATCATTGTCAAAGACAAGTTACCTTCTCTTTTTTTCCCTCTATGTAAACCTCTCCTTTAAAAAAACACAACATTTTATTAGGAGCTCTTACAGATATGATTACACCCCGTAGTTCTGTCAAATCCAGCATAATTGTACAATTGCTGGCCTCATCATCTTCTTTTCTTCTTGAACTCCTTGATATCAGCTCCCTTGACAAAGCTGCTCAAATGAACACGCTTTTGGCGTACCTCCCCTGAATATGTCATCTTCCTAGCTGATGGGGCAGGGAGAGGTACATGACACAATGCAGAGACTGTAGTCATCCTAAACATCACCATAAATACTCCATGGTCATTTCCAGTCCACAGCGCTTTACTTACTTTGAGAAAATAGCCACAGCATATGGCTTATTATATTGCACACATACACAATCTATATGGACACAGGTTGTGTCCCAGGTATTCCTCCTCCCATACAACTAAGAAAAATACCTCCATATACGTGTATACATGCTTTTAGGGAACTCTAGAAAACAACTTGGAGTTTTATGATGTATTATGTTTAAACTACTTAAGTTATTAATACTATAATAAAGAGTAGCAGATCCAAAAGGGTTCACACTTATACAAGTAATTTTTAATGGTTACCAGTAGTGGAAAGGAACGGAAGAGGAAATTACTGGCTAGAGGGTAGACATCTATTAAATTTTTCAAAGGGAAGGCCATACCAGAAAAGTTAGCACAATAGTACTTGGCCAGGAAAGATATGGGTGAGTGCAAGAGTGAAAGGCAGCGACCAGATACAATTCTGCAGTGAGGGTGGTCTGTGTAGATGCAGGGAGAGACATGCAGGGAAAAATAAAGGAGCAATTATTACTACTTAACAGCTAGTGACGTGAAACAAAAACATAGTATGGTGATCATAAAACTATATAATTTAATTTTTCAAATAAAATATAAATCAGTTTTATTTATAATTGTTGGGGTATTATCAAACAAAAAACACACCAAACCCTTTGCCTTTAAGATGGTTCTAATTCGTAGCAATCATACAGGACAGAACAGAACTGCCCCATGAAGTTTTGGGGGCTATAATCATTACAGAAATCACACTATCAACCACCTCACTCTCCAGAGAAGTAGCAAATGAGTTTGAATTAAGCTGGCAAACACTTAACCAGTGCACCAACAGGCTCCTGTGCTTATGGTAATCTAAAGGGCCATAAAAGCTAAATCTACTTGATAGCATTTTCTACTCTTTAACCAAGAGGATTTATGCTCGTTTTCTCTAAGTAGTCACTCTAGAGTCAGGGATTCCATGTTCACTGTAGCAGCCACAACTTTTAACTGGTTTCTTATGTTTAAAGACTTTGAGATGACAAAGTTATTCATCTTTTTCTGCCAGTCTAGTGTGTTCTACTGCTTCATTTTGCATGGCTAACGGAAGACCCCCTAACTGGTTTCTAATGTAAGGAATCCTCTTCACTGCAGCTCATATTATTTACTCTAATTTTGTATTATGCCAATCTTTAACCAAGGCTCTTCTTGGTTCCTAGCAATCAACAGAGTCTAGCAATCAGGGTCAACGTTCCTTAATGCTTAGTATTCTCTGTCTCTTCTGGATGGCTAGACTACACAACGACAATGTAGAGACATGCTCCACACTTGTTACCATCTCCCTCATGCTTCTGCTACTCCTTCGTCTCAATTCCACAGTCAAGAAAAGTCTGTCCATCCTTTACGGTGCATCTTTGTTGCTACTGAGTTGACCTTCAACCAAATGTAGTCTTTTTTGTACTTTCTCTAGCAACCCTGTGAATCATTTTTATTGTTGCAACCCTTTGAATGGATTTGTTATAAAAATCTACCTTATAATCTGCTTATTTCTATTTTCTCTGATTCATGATCCTCTGTTGGAATGTGAAGTTTTCGCTTCCAATAATTGGATATGGAAACATAAAGAGAGAATATGTGTATGAAGTCAGAGAAGTGAGACAGTTTTGCTGTTCAGCAGACACATATAAAAGGGTTCATAATTCTGAGTTTGATTTTAATTATGTACAGTTTGAAAGTGTGAAAGCTGTGAAGGAGTTTTGAAATCTTAAAAAAAGGGTGTGTGTAATATGATTTGAACTATATAACAGCACCAAAAATTAAAAAGAGAGAGAGAAATCAATGAAATGAGAATCAAGAGATCTAGTTTCTTAATCCAGCTCTATGAAAGTTCCTGCGCTTATTTGTTCATGTTATCAAATCTAATTACTGTGAGATATCTCCCAGAGCGCTAGGAATGTCAGAAAGGTGAGCACAGGAAGGGGCAACTCAGTCAAGATTTACACGATTTTTTTGAAAAATTACATTTCACATTAGAAATAATTTCAACAAGGCTTTCTATGTTTAAAAACTGAATATAGTATAAAGAAAACTAGAGCATTGCAATATTTGAAACAAGGTGTTTTTAAGATTTAAAATGGGTCTATTAAGAAACTATAGTAACTAAGAAGGAATCACGAGCCATTAATTCATCATTAACATATGTCTGGACCCTATTGCTTGCTCTGCCCCATACACACCACGCACATACACACACACACACACACACACACACACCACACGCACCAGCCACACACAAACACAAACGCCATATACACACACAAACACACACACTGCAAACTTTTAAATCTTTTTGTTATTTAATGCTAGCTAAATATGTTCTTCTAAGGTATTTTGTTGCTATTGTGTTTGATCTTATATGAACTTCACCTTAAGGCATGACCAAGTTAAGAATTTTAGTATTTAATTTCTCCCAGGAAGTGAATCCGTTGTTGGAAATATACTTGAAAGTTGTGAGGAAATGAAATGCCATAGGAAACCTCTCTTTATTCAGTTCCACTTCCTTCCATCTAAAATATAGACACTTAAAGCCACCAAATTGTGGGCTAGAAGGTAGGGGGCTATAAAATAAGCGTAATATATTTTTCACGTACATTTTCCTAATCACCTCCCTTCACTCTTTATCATATCTGGTGTTTTTAACGTTGCCTTTTCCCTCAACACTATCACCAAGCCAGCATTGTCTCTCTCTCCAAGTTAGTGACCTCACCATTTACTTCACAGCAATTACTGAAATTGTGTTAGCTTTTTTCAACATCTGGACACTAAATTCACCATGTTACCTATTTCTATGTTGAGGCTTGCCTCTTCTTTCCTGTTAAAATGGAACTCTTATCTAACTCCCACTCTGAAATTTTTTTTTAATTTTACTGTACAGCACAACTCATTCACACTCTGTTTTTTTTCATTATATCAATTAGCTTTTCTTGATCCTGCATTTTAAAATATCCCTTGTCTGTTAGATCATTCTCAATGTCATTTCTTCTTTCTCTCACTGAATCACCAAGTACAATCATTTCACTAAATCCCACTAGCTCACTAAGCCTAATCCCTTCCCATCATTTGAATGTGCTAATTAATCCTTTCATCTTAGAGCACCCACCAGTCCATAAACATTGCTTTCTACCATCTTTTATGTTATGTCTTTTTTCGCTCTGGCTACTTCTTGGTCTTCTTGGTGGTCTCCTTTTTATGGAATCAATTTTATTTTTTTAAACAATTTTTTATTGTAAATTGGATGAGGGTATTATATTTCAGATCATCATCATTTTATTCCACAGTTTAAACTCATTAGTGTACCTTTCACCTGCTCATTGATTACACTTTTTCCTCCTGTGGATTTCACTTTTTCCTACATTCCATTGCAACAAAGTGAACACCTGTCACAGGGGAGCCAATTATATGACCTTCCTTCCTCATTCTTTCCACATTAGCAATCTCCATAGTCTGTTACCTTTGGTATGAAAGTCTTCAAAAGAAACAGAGAAAATATCTAGGAATCAAAACTATGTATAGAAATATAAACATAGGTGTATACAAATGTAAATATATTAATTCATGAATATAAAAATATTAATTCATAAAATAGAGGTAATGTGCATATATTTATATGGAAATACATTGAGGAAGTGGATGGACTTTGGATGGACTCTGCTCAAGCCCTCCCTCAATGCAAGAACACTTTGTTCTAACAACCTGGCATTCTGTAATGCTCAACCTCTCGACACGATTGCTGAAGATAAGATAGGTGCATATGCAAATGTGGGGAAGAAAGCTGATGGTGCCTGTCTGTCAAAAGATACAGCATCTGGGGTCTTAAAGGCATGAAGTTAAACAAGCAGCTATCTTGGAAGAAGCACACCAGCCTGTGCAATCATGAGGTGTCGACAGGATTAGGCAACAGAGGTCAGAAGACCCCAAACAAAACAAAGCAAAGCAACATATTGTTGAGAATGAGGGGGGTCGAAGCAGAAACTCAAAACCCATTTGTAGACAATAGGACATCCCCTCACAGAAGGGTCACAAGGAAAGGAGTCAACCAGGG